TACCTACTGGTTGTCATAAGTGAAAGACAAATTCAAAGATAAGGTAGATAATTTCTAAAAGAGAGATCCACCTAACAAGAAAATAATGGAGAAATCAGTGGAGATAAGATTACTGAGCTACCCAACAAAAGGAAGGGGGAGACACCTGTCAAGAAAGGACTCTCAAAGTCTTCTATAAAAGGAGGCAAGAAGAAAGAAAGAAGTAGCTCGAAACAACTTATCTCTAAAAGATTTGAAAAAACACTCTGAAAAATCACATCTCAAAGAAATATCTTTTGTAATCTGTATACACCACTTGTATTCAGAAAATTTTTTAGATAATCAGAAGGGAGCAAAACTTGTAATAAGGTAATCACTTATGGAGTTCTAAACTTCATAAGGTGAGTACCAAATGTATGTGAATATAGATTGTAAGCATGTACTATTTCAGTTTATGAATATTAAAATAAAGTTTGTCATGTTCAACAAAACTTTCATAAAAGGATGTCGTTAAATTTCTTATTATTCCTCGGCAGTGCAGATAGAGATTTTAAAAGATTTTCAAAACATTGATTTTGAATGGATGTTAGCCATGCCAAAGTACCCGTCTTTGATGAATGGTTTAGGGGAAAAATGCAGTTTTCTAATAAAATCGTAGCACCTTGTGTGTGAGTTATCTTTTAAAATTTCATTTCAAGTAAAAACTTGATTCTGAAAAGAGTTTGAATAGAGGTGAAAACAGAGACTCTAGATACTGTGAGATAGCGTCTGTGGAAACACGGCTAGTTCTGTAGAATGAGAAATGCAACCTTAATTGAAAAACCTTTTTGCGGAAGTAGTTGTGGATCCAAATGATTTCAAAAAACATTTTAAACTCTTACTTGATTCAGAAGATTGATTAAGTACATGCAAAACATCTATAAGAGCATACTGGAGGGAAAACCTGTTTACTTCCATTTGATTACTGTAAGTTATTTACTCTCTTTTACATGCTTATGTTTTGATTAATTTTGATGAACAATTTACAAGTATCCACATCCACTTCTAATGATAATAATGATCCCAAATTATATTTAGATGAGAAAGATATTTCGCTTTTACTTAAATTAGCTGAAAAGTCTGAAGACATATTTTCTGTTGGCCATGAAAAACTTGAAGAAATATATAGAGATATAGATTATTATTATAAGCATAATATAAGACTTGATTCTGTAAGAACTAGTTGAGTAATAAAAAATGTAGAAGATATTATAACTAAACATAAAGATATACAAGAAGAAATTTCAGAAGGAATAGTTCTAGGATACATAACTAAGAAAGGTCAGTCTAGAATCTTTAAAGAATTATCAAGATACAGAGAATATTTAGTGGTGTTTGAAAGATTGAAAAATATAAACATAAGTCCTGATTAATGAATCTCTAAAGGAGAAGAATATTGAAAAACTTAGAAAAGATACAGGATACATATTGCAAATAATAAAAGTAAGGGTAAAATATTATTTCAAATAGTAAAGGCCATTGTAGAAAATAGAACCAATATTCTGGTCATTTAGAAGACTGACCCCCCACTCAATCAAGAAAAAAAAGGCAGTTGAGAGCAGCATTAATTTGAAGAAGAAATGTAGAGGCATGATTTGTTCACATCGATTCCTGAAGTTCGATTTGCAAGTTTCAACAATCGAATGTCTAATCTACTATAATTTTAAGTTCTTTTTTTTTTTTTCCATCTTCTTAATTATTTACATCTTTTGATCTCAATGGGGTGATACGTTGTTGACCGAGACTTACGTGGGTGTGATCTCAACGGTATGTAACATCACTAACGTTACTCATGACTCACCTTAAACTTTAAAGGCTGAAACAATAATGACAAATTATTTTCGTGTGCATATTTGGCTAAAGCTTTAAATATATGCAAAAAGTAGAGTTTTTAGATCAATAATGTATTTGTTGGTCAAATTTATAAATGACTATTTTTTTTTTTAACTAAAACTAATCTTAATTCTTTGTATAATATTCTCCATAAAGTTTAAATTAAAATCAAAATCTTAGTAGATTTTGATTAAAGATGATGCAGTGGTTTAAAAGTTATCGATCCCTTGAAAATGTGAGAAAAATTAATTATTGATTTTGACATTTAAATTTTATCAATTTTTAGGGTGACGTCTAGCACATCGTTAAATTTGAAAAATTTTAACTGTATAAATTAAATGGATGACGTCTCTAGCTCAACTTCTTTAAATGGATTGTGTGTTAAACATCATACACATTTTCCTTGTCATGTAAATATTTTCAACTCTGCTCCCTGTCCTGGCTTGGGGACAAGGGCACCATGTGGCGCCCCTGTTTTCAATCCTGTCCCCAAGCCGGGATAGGGGCTTTTCAAATATTTTAGGGGGATGAGCCACACTTGATGTAATCTACATTTCTATTGAAGATTTAAATTTTGATAATTTAATATTCAGAGTAGGTGAAAATATCAAAAAAATTATGTTATAAGCAACTTAGTTCGTCAAATTTTAAAGATGTATTAGAAATATTTTTTTATAAATCTTATAAAAGTTATTATATTTCACAAGAATACAATACCATCCTATCACAAGCAGTCAAGCACCCGACTTATCTCCTCTTCTTTTACATGTTATCTATTTCTTCATTCAAAGTTATGAATGATAAATGTCTTCTAGCATGGAAACATTTTCCTTCATGGAATTAATTTATATGACCACTCATCTCACGACACCTATGGTTGATAATAAGAACAAATTAATGCTAAAATAAATTAGTCACTCTAGTATTTTCTAGAACATCACAAGAAGGTTCATTTTCAAATTATTAAATTCAATAAATTATTAATTATCCATATACGAATCCAAAAAGTCTGTGGGCTGTGGCCTTTGTTTATGCAAATTTAGTATTATAATTATAATTTATTAAAGTAATGCAACTTGGCATAAGATATTCTTCCTTTTCTCCATTTGCTGGGTTGTCCTGCATTAACATGAAAGATATTAAATATTATTTTATTTTTTAATAAAATATGGTGGATGAAGGTTTTGTCTTCCTTACTTTTATTTTTCTAATTGAAATCTTCCTCATTTCGATGAAATAAAAAGAGACACGTAACAATTGACGTGTTGATAATTGAAAGCGAACTACAGATAAATATAACACATGTAAATATAAGAATTAAAAGGTTATCTTCCAACTCGAGATGCACTTGAACCTCTTCAATAATGTATCTTCAATGTACAACTAGGTATATCAACTAAATTTTGAGTCTGCGTTTTTTTTTTTTAAATTAATTTTTTTTTCTTGTCAAAGAGAGGTTAATTCTTACGAACGATGCAATTTAAAATATAACTTTACCTAGAAATTTTGACGACAAAGAAATTTATTTATTTATTGTTAAAAGAAGGTTAATTCTTTAGAACGATGCACTTCTAAATATAACTTTACCTAGAAATTTTGACGAGGTTGTGTCACCTTTACATATCTTTGGATTGAACTATTATGCCTGCGAATTGGTTACTAGAGGAATATATCTACTCTCACTAATTTTTGAACAATAGGGCGTTTTCTTTTTCTGTAAAGTTTATTAAAATTGGACACTTTGTGCTTTGTGACATTAAAAAGAGGGTAATTTTGATTGCTTAGTTTTTCTATTTCAAATACTTATATTTAAATAGCTTTTTATGGCTTATTGTAGTTTCGACAAAAGTTAATAAAAAGTGTGATTAAAAAGTTGATAAAAATTGTGAATTAATTAAAATATGTAATTGAAATTAATTGTTGACTTTACTATAACTTTTTAATTTATACTAAATCAGGAAAAGATCTATTTTAATTGAACTTATTATTTAATAACAAAAAATTATTATGTAAATTAATTGTAAATTTCAATAATGCGACATAATAAATCGTTCGCTATTTAAAAACCATGCTCTATTCAAGCAAGTGGCAAAGAAAAAAAAAGTCAACCTTCGGCTCCTAAAACCTTAGTCATGATTGTCTGCAGGTAACGGTAATGATCACTGATGTCATACCCCAATTGTTGTAGTAAGTGGGTCTCACCCCTCCTCCACTTAAGAGCCTTCTGATCCTATTATTTTTTATTTGTGTTTTTTTTTTATCTAAAATACATTTTGAAATAATATTTTAATAGAGAATATGTAATTAAAAAATAAGATTTTAACTATTATTTCGTTACAACCATTCTTTCAAAATTTTTATTTTTTCGTAATCATTTTCAACTATACATTTTTATAATAAAATATTATTCACATAAACTCAAATTTACTTATTTTTAGTTTTTAATCACATGTTATTTAAAAATTTACTGTTCAAAAACTCATTCTTTCAAAAAACTGACTGTCAAACAAGGACTAAATTTCTCGTATTCTCTATTCAAAACCAAAGCCACTCTACGACCATGGTAGGTCACCCCACATGTCTATCCCCACTCCACCGTACCACTATGTCACCATAGCAAGAATTCCAGAACTTGCCCCCCAAGATATGGTCTAATAGTGCAAAAGACAAGAGTGAGGTTATCTCACGCCTTGTTGACAATCGCAGTGTGGAAGTTCGATTTCTGAGACATGGATTTGAACTCCTTGTAGGCGTAGTGAACAAGTAACTCTTGTTCTTTGGCCTGTTGGGGGCACATCTCACGATTTACCTATCTCACAAAGCTTCAGAAGCGGGGTCGTGGGGGCCCTTAAAGTTGGAGTTCAACCATTTTTTTTTTTTTTTTTTTTGGGAAGAATTTCAGAACTTTGTATGGAACCTTTCCTTTACCAAAACAAGACAGACAGGGCAGCTTGAGGGACCAAGATGTAGACTCTAGGATTTAGTCACTGTAACGTGGATACCTGAATATTAGGGAAAAAAAAAAAGAAAGACAGACAGGGCAATTTAATAAAATAAAAAATGCCACCTCCAATGTCCAAAATATCTAGAAACTTCAATTATAAATAAATTTCTTATTACTACTAAACTGGAATAAAACCCAGCTCTCTTTCTGGCGTTCATCACCTTAACTGCTCAAACGACCTTCCCAAAAGAGAAAGATAAGGCAAAATGTTTCTAAAAGTACACTTTATCTCCAATTTCTCAAATTTGCTTACACATTTTTGAAATTTTTGTTTCAAAATTTATGAATCCTGTAATTTTTTCTTTGAATTTCACAAGTTTTTGCATATCTTATAATAAGAATATCATAAGAAAAATATAGCAAACTTCATCATGAATCCCATATATCCAGTGAAGGAAGAGTATCCAGGAGCAGAAGGTTCATCAAGTTCAAGTCCATGGAAATCAAGAAATCAGCCTGATGGGATAGCGCCACCGCTTCCACCACCGCCGCCGCAGCCAATGGAAGGGCTGCATGATGTGGGCCCTCCGCCATTTTTAACCAAAACCTTTGAAATGGTGGAGGATTTGACGATTGATAATATTGTTTCTTGGAACAGAGGAGGGCATAGTTTTGTTGTGTGGGATCCTCATTCTTTTTCCACAACTGTTCTTTCAAGATATTTTAAACACAATAATTTCTCAAGCTTTATACGGCAGCTCAATACATATGTAAGTACTTATTATCGTTGAGATAAGTAGAATTTTCCCTCTTTCTTATTTCAATTTTTGTTGCAGGTTTGGCAAAGCTTGGAAAGTTTAAGCCCCAATAGTCATTCTGACTAATACAATAGTTATTTTCCTTTTTTAGAAAAAAAAATACATTTTTTAAAGCATAGCGAAACATGAATTCGTGATCTAGTAGAGTGTTTCATCTGGTTTGGGTTGTTGGGGGGGGGGGGGGGGGGGGGGGGGTTTTATAATTAA